GGGTTCGAAGTTTTTCAGTGATGGTTCACGATTCATGACCGTAGGTAAGTATGGGGATAAAGATCGACTTCAATACCGAGAGCTTAGTTTTCAGACTCAGCTCCGCTTCACAGTGGATCGGGCTAGTTCACGCAGAACGCCACTGGCTACTCTAGTTCGATGATCGATCTCTTCTTCAAATTTTCTATTGCTAGTAGAGTTTAAACAACAAATTGTAGCAAATTTCTGATTCACTGTTTAAAGATTGAGTGATGCCTAAGGTTAATAATGGATAACATTCGTTGCTGCGGCGAAGGTCATATTCCTCATGACAACATTACTGCCTCAACATAGCGATTCCATTGCACTTCTGGAATGAGGCATCGTTCTAAAGGGGGATATTGCAAAAGCTGATGGGAATTCTGAATGTTTGAAGCTCTCAAAGAAAATGAATGGCAGTTTTTAAAGAAATGACAAGAAGATCGGAAGGCATTGCTGAACTAAGATCCAATTGATGCCTGTTTTATGTTATTGTTTTATTTTACATTTTTGCTATTCCTAAAAACGCACGTTTTTTGGCAATTTTTCTGGCAGTTAACGTTTTCACAGTACATTTTGGCACAAGCAAAGGATTTAAAATATGCATTCCTTATTCAGAGGGTTGCCTGCGCGTGGTTCTATGGGCTGCTTTTTTGAAATTGTCCTCATTAACCCATTCTGCAAGCAGCTGTTGCTGAAAGCGGTAGTCAGCAGTGACTGTTATTAGTCGATTAAACGACCGTTTGTGATGTTGTTGTTTATTTTAATGACATGCCTTTTCAAGACGCACGTCATTTAGATGATCATGTTCCAGTGTGAGGTTAAACCTGTTGACGATGTCATTAGACCATACATCTCGCTATTACATATATGCAGTCGTGATCACTATTTAACGGTCATCTTGAGGAGTTGAAAGGTGGCCGCTTAAAGGCCCGTAAAGGGGGGGGGGCGTTGCATGTCTGTCTGGTTTTTTGCGCTCGCCGATACGTACTTCGGTGACGCACGTAAAAAGACATGATTAATTTTCGCGCGTTTTTTTACCTGACATCATTTTTTCAGACATAGTTTCCCACGCGATGTTCAAATTTCTAATTTTGCTTGTTCACTTTTATGAGTAGCTTAGAGCCATGTTAATGTTGGTTTAGTGACAATTTTTATCCTGCTTTTTGTTTACATGTTTTCTTTGCTGTTAATTTTTACGAATTTTCATGTTAATTTGAGGTAAAAAGATATATAATTGTATATATCAAGTGCACGTGTGAAGAGAGCGAAATTGGCCGACTGTATGTATGCTGTAATATGAGGAACAGTCAGGTGAAAGAACAATATATTAGACCTGTCAAACATTGCCACGATAGTGTAACAGGTCTATGCAGTGAAGCAAAATAGTTTGTTGTGGTGGGAGTCTGTCAGAACTCATTTAAATTGAGATCATTTCTCTTTTCAGTGGTTACAAACGTCGTACTTGTAGATCAGTGGGTAGCTGCCACATGCTTCATGTTTTACTTAGACCATGTAGTACCTTGTAACAAAACAGGCGTAGTCCAGTCATGGAGAGTGATTTCTCAAATAAAGGAATTTCGTCTGAACAAAGCATTATCATCACGAGAGTGTTTCAGGAAAAACAAAGGTTTCATCATTAACCTTTTTTGCCGTATTTTCATGGCGTAATTTTACCGTACCGTTGCTTTTAAATGCATAAGACGCTGCTCCGCTACAGTCGTTCCCGAAATATTTAAGCTATTAGTAGTGTGTATAAATGCCTGCAGAATTTGGCAATTTTTGGTTGCTGCTCCAGCATGTACGACCCAGATTACGGTGTAAGACTTTCAAATCCGAAACTATCGGGAACACCTGCTTTCAGAGGTTGTTAACTTTTCCTTATACTGCACTAATCCATTATGAGGTGGATTTTTGCGACGTATTGAAAGAATTACGTAATTATGATAGTCAGAGTGTATTCGCGATGGTCAGGAGAATACGGAAATTGGCGAAATCAGTAGCATAAATTTTGCGCAAAAATTAACATTTTGTCATTACGCTTTGTAGTTATACTTTAGGGATCATGGGGAAAGTGGTGCGTAATGTCCGTGTTAAGATCAGGGTTACTGCCTTGTTTAGACGTTCAGAACTAGGACTTGTTTAAAAGGGGCCGCTTCGGTGGCGTGATGCATGATAAAACATAAATTCTGTTCTGACATGAAACAAATTCTAAACACTGTAGTCGTGTTATTGATTTATATTAGATTGTCATGTTTCAGGTGGCTTGAATATTAAGCAGTAAGAAATGTCGTCGGTTCGCGAAAGGACAGTTCCGATTTCGATGGAGAGGCGGCAGGGATCGATGCAGGAGATCAGCGGTAGGATTATCGGGATGTTGGACGAAATCGAAAAGCGGGTCGAGAACATGCGCGAAACTGCAGGTCTGATGGAGCAAGAGAAAGAAAGCTTGATCGAGATGTTGGGCACCGTCCAAATGAATAAAGACATGCTGTCTCTAAACCAGAGTAAGTCAATGTCGTGGTCGATTATATAGTTCAGTCAGTCCGTACACCATGTAAACAAATTACAGCTTTCTTCTTATGTCTGTGTGAGATAGATAACCCTACCAAGTTTGAAAAGAGGCAAACGATGAATGAGGTGAGGCCCTTTCAATTGTAAAAAGAAACCACAAACGAATAGATAACTTTTTTCGACTTATTGCCTCCGTAATCCACTTTCTAGCAGTGATATCCCTGCTCGGCGATTAGGTGGTAAATTTTACCTTTCCAGAGCTATAGATCTTCTCTCCAATATAGACTAGGGATTTAAAAGCTGTACAGTCATATTCAGTTTAACAAAAAAAATGAGAGCGCTGACTGAATTACACGTAATGTGAGATTAATTTTGTATACTGTTTACAGAGATGCATTTGCAAAATCGTCATTTATAGCCTCTTTTTCAATGCAGGAGCTGTTATTCTTTCTGATGCTTAAAAATACATTTTAAAACTGTGCAACATGACAGACTTGGTATAAACGCGAAATTGTGCAGAATAATCGCTTTTGCAGGTATTTTATCATTTTCTCATTCTGTAACTGGTTGCTTATGCCTTTGGTGTATAATCCGATTACGTTTTCCATTTCCTCACGTGTGTAGACCAAAGTCTCAGTTATAAAACAGTGTTTTCGATGAGATTAGCCTGATGATTTCTGAAATTGTTTTAGTCATTATAACTGAACTTTTTTGTTGCTGCTTACCGAAAATGTTTACGTCTTGTTATTTTTATTTTTCCCTAGAGCGTAACACTTCTTCATAATCACCATCAGCATTATCTGATCCACTGTTCAACGAAGGCTTCCCTTCCTTCAAGTCTTTTCCATAAACTTCTGTTTTCTGCAGTTAAGGAGCCTACTATTAAAAGAACATTGAAAATAGAAGAAAACATGGTTTGTTTATGCACAACGTAAACAAAATGGTCAGTACAGACGATTGGTACCAGCGTTTTAACCTGCTCCATGATTCTTCTTCAAGTTTATGCATTGGTTGAATTTAAGAAGTCCTTCTGATTGTCCGCATCGGTTTGTTTGCAGTCATAAGACCGAGAGCTTTCTGAACCAGTTTAGTAACTCAAGCGAATCCTACACTTGAAGAAGACCCATGAGACATGGGTCGAAACGCCAGTTGACCGTATCATTTGTGTTGTGTTGCATATAAATAAACTATGTTTTACGCAATTTTTAAGCTGATCACCAACTCAGGAGCGAAATACTCAATCTAAGAAAATCTCTGAGAAATCTAAGAACAAAAAAATACAGTGTTAACAGCTGTATGAAAATATCAGAACTGAAATGTGAAAGTGGCACAGTTTGAAGGCGATTATCATTATGAGACTGTATGTTCACGACATGACCTTGCTCTTAATTTACTCTGCGCCTAAAATTCAGTCAGTCATACATGGCTAATGGCTTCGCGGTGCCCAGGGGAAGTCTCATTCAGCTTTTTGCCGGTTACATGCATGTCAGATATATGCAGCAAGCTACAGTTATGGGTTACACTGGTTTATGGAGTAATATTATTACTTGTAAATATGATCGTATGTAATGAATGCAATAGCCAAATATAGTTGTGATGAAGCACTTAAAAAACTATGATTTACCAGCACTGAGATGGAACCAGTTGTTCGTCGTTTAAGAAATTGTCAATCTTTGTCTGAAACTTTTTACCGATGCATTCTTTGTAGCAACATATCAGATTCTGTAACCTTTACTTTACTGCTGCCTTCGAAATTGGGGTCGTTTTGCAGTTACGAAATCCATGGCATCATTGATGTCATTCACAAAATCTGCCAATAAACTTGTGGTTAACTTTTCTTTCGTTCCATCAACATCGTCAACTGTACAGTCCTCATTATTCTTAAGAACCTAAATTTACTCTTCGACTTTTAATTTATTCTTCACGTGTCAGATCTGTCTCAGCATTTAAGTTATGTACTTCATCTTCGAAGCCTTGCATATTAGCAAGACCGAAAATGACACATACACCTTCTAAATTCTTTGAATTATGATAGGCCTCTGATCATACGTTCATTCATGCACTTTTCATATAACTGAAAGTCATTCCCTCCTAGGTGATGTTCTTGTTCCTGATTGCATTCCTAATGTTGAAAGATTTTAAGAATTGTACCTTGTTTGTACCATCAGTTACCCAGAGCAGTTGCTTAATGGTGCGCCTCATTTCGAGAGCTGAAAATTTTCCGTGGTGTGCTGATCCATCGGTTAAATAGTTACTGATTGTCTTCCATTGAAGGAAAACCACTTTCGCATGTTATGCAGTGCATAGCGTATCTATGTTTGCTGAGTGACTATAGACATTATCGATCACAGCATTTGAGCTTCAACATATTGCGTTCACAATATGCTTCACTTATGAATAAAACTCTCACGTTACTCTATAATTAATATTTTTCCATGTTTTTTTGGCTGACCTTCACATAACGGGAAGTACTACAAACATCCCCTCATTATTCCAAATGTCTGCTGTGGTAAATAAACAGTCTTTTCAACTTTACATCTTATGAATCGTGATTCTCTCTTTGATAGCTGTAAATCTCGGTGTACTTCTCTTCTCGGGATGAAAGGCGACGTGACCTCTTCCATTTAAGAAGGGATTCATCAAGTAACGTGTATTGGTATATCAGCATATAGATAGTCTCATTTCAGTGGTTCGACACAGAGATAACAGTAATGCGTACAGAAAGAACATTCAGCACATCACTGAGTTGAGATGAAGGCAACTATAGAATCATCACTCCTTCATTGTTACGCTCAAGCCCATATAAAAAGTAGCGATTTCGAAACGCGGTAAAGTCTACCGTAGAACTTAGCCACCTGCTCTTCATGGCATTTATGCTATTGAGTAGACGTTATAAACGCCGCGGCCGTCGATCGGGTTAAGGAAGCGCGAGACGATCACGTGCAGAGTCGGATCGCGAGACAGAGTCCGATCGCGAGACGATCACGTGCAGAGTCGGCTAATAGTACGGCTTTGCATCACTTAACTGACAGGAGCGAGACTCCGCTGTCATACAAGTAAACATCCACTGGTGTCATTCCATTGGTGGTGCATTTTATGATAGAACTGCTGAAAATATTTTGTAATGACCTAGTGACGCATTCTTCAGTAAAAATGCCCGCAAAGCCTATGTTGAAAGCGAAGGTTGGTCCGAATCGAAAATAGTTATAACGAATCAGTGCGTCAAGGGGTAATACAGTGCATCCTTTCCCGCAAATCCGGGCATCTATGAAAAGATTAAAGAATGCCACTGATCTGACTCAGTGGCCCCTGTTAAAAAGTATTTCGATTTTTTAAAAAGTCGGTGGCACTTCGGACATTCTTCAATTAGTCTAATTGAAGTAGAAGTTTGTACTGAATGTATATTATTTATAAATTATGTAGTTATCGCTTTTCTTATGCGTTTATTAAACCGTAGGCGAGAAGGAAGACATCGACGCTACGACTAACCGTTTGTTGAACCGATGTCGAACGGTCGACGTGTCTGTGAGCACTCCTCGCAACAGCGAACAGGTGCGCTGTGCTTGGCTCAGTATTTTTGATACAGATTTGTTTGTTTTAAGGAAAGAGCGCTCAAGCTCGTTAGTAATCAAATGGACGAACTGATGAACAAAATGCGAGAGGACTTGGGTTTTTCAAAACAGGTATGTAGAGAACAAAGTTTAAGGTTTGTGGTTAACTGTTCAGTTGGCTCTATTCACGTTTCTAACTTGGCACAGTATCAGTATACAGTAGTGTAGCAGAAATCAAAATATTCAAACCAGTCCTTTGTAATTACGCAAATTTCTATTTCGAGTTTTAGTTTCAATGTGTGAAAACATTAACATTTGTACAGTACAGCGATTTCCTAATAATATTTAGAAATTCCACTTTACAGCAGCAGAGTTGTAAGATCGACATTATGGCCATTCGCCAACAAAGTGTGGCTTGTTGTAGTGACGTTGAATTGTTCGAAAACCCGTTATATACGTTTGGTAGAGTATGCTGTTACGTCTGTGTATTCCATGGTTCTGCCTTTAGGCTACCAGCAGTAAGTTGAGGATCATACTCTGTTGCGAGTATTTACTATTGCAGAGAGGAC